TGCTGCTGCTGCTGCTGCTGCTGCTGCTATTGCTGCTGCTGTTGCTGCTGCTATTGCTGCTGCTGTTGTTGCTGCTATTGCTGCTGCTGTTGTTGCTGCTGTTGTTGCTGCTGTTGTTGCTGTTGTTGTTGCTGTTGTTGTTGCTGGTGTTGCTGGTGTTGCTAGCGTTGTTGGTGTTGTTGGTGCTGGTGTTGGTGCTGGTGCTGGTGCTGGTGCTGGTGCTGTTGGTGCTGTTGGTGCTGTTGGTGTTGTTGGTCTTGTCGTCGTTGTTGTTGTTGTTGTTGTGGTGGTTGTTGTTGTTGTTACTCCGGGGCTTGGGAGTTCGCAGTTTGGGGCTTAAGGTCATTTGTTAGTGGCGTGTAGGCTTTCGGGGATGCATTTGTGCAGTGGAGTCGTGTAGCAGAATTGTGAAGGGCCTCTTCTTGCGACTATTCTCGAAGTTTCTCTTGGCTTTTGGGACTATCGATTCCAAACCACCGCATTATACAAGCCCGAAGCCTTTACTGTAACCCTTATCGCTAAATCCTCAATCCTAAGCCCCGAAACCCCTGAACCCAAACCCTTACCCTAAGCCCCCAATCGGCAACCTTGGCTACGGCTCAAGACTAAGACAGTGGGGCCGAAGGACGGTCTTCAGCTGAGATGCACCAAAGCCTTGCGAGACTCAGGATCTAAAGAGCGCGTGCCTGTCTGCGACACAGCCGCCAGATCGTCGGTTGTCGCAGCCACAACATAAGACAGACACTTCGCACATAAGGGATGCTCACTTCGAGCCATGCTGCACGATGGCTTCCCAGGGATGTCGTGGAGGCATCCCAGATCGGTGGCGCCTGGACGCTCATCGCGTACGTCATGATGCTGGTAGTTTTCCTACTCGAGCTGGCATCCTTCATGAGCCCGGGGTACACCACCATGATGGCCTTGGACAAAACAGGCAGCGGTTTGCTGCAGATCAATTTCGACGTAGATGTGCATGACATCGAGTGTCGGAACCTGCAAGTCGTTGTTTTTTCGCAAAGCGGCAAAGAAAGGCTTGACGTGCTGGGAGAAGATTTCTGGCTGCGATCCATTGACGCTGCGGGAAAGACTTTTGGAGTGTGGATAAAGCCCCAGGAGTATCAATGGCAAGAGCCAGAAGAGGATGGTCATGACAAAGTCATGCAGAAAGTCCGGCAGGAGGATGGCGCGGAGGAGATCGATGCTGATTGGTCTTCCTCGCACGATGGCTTTAAGCACAAGAGCTTCGAGCATGTCATTCAGGGCCATGATTTCACTTTCATCAACTTCTTTGCTGGATGGTGCAGTCATTGCCAGAAGTTCGCCCCAGAGTGGGATCAAATTGCCGAGAAGGTCCATGGCAAGGGTGATGCTCCAGGCATGAAGTTTCGCGACAAGGACGGCATCGAGCGTCCCATTCGGCTGATCAAGCTGAACTGCGTAGACTTCAAGGAGACTTGTGCGGAAAAAGGCATCGATGCCTACCCCACACTGCGGCTCTATAAGGCCGACGGGTCCTTTACAGTCTACGACGGTCGACGTGGGGAGGCGGAGATCATTCGCTGGCTGGAGAAGATGGCGAAGATGAGAGGCTATGGCTGGGGTAAGCACCATGAGACCTTCGAGCGTGGCTGCAATGCCCGTGGCCGGCTGCAGGTGCCGCGTGTGCCTGGGCACTTGGAGCTCATGGCCGGGGGAGGGGATCAGAATTTGAACCCTAGGATGACCAACGTCAGTCACACCATCAAGCACTTGTCCTTCTCGGATGCACAGGATGACGCGTACAGCCGCAAGACGCCGCTTCTGGCAGCGCGCTTGCTCCAGCAGGGCTGGAAACGCTTCCCTGGCGACGTCACCCGCAACTTGGCGCCATTGGATGGTCGCAAGTTCGTGACCAGCGGCTTTCATCAGGCTTACATCCATGACTTGAAGGTGGTGAGCACTGTCGCGGGCACGGTGACGACCTACCAGTTTCAGCACCTGGCTCGGATATCAAAGCTGCCTGAGGCCGCCATACCTCAGGCTCAGTTCCACTACGACCTCGAGCCCTTTTCCATTGAGGTGAAAACGGATGAAAAGAGATGGTATGACTTTGGCACATCCCTCTGTGCGGTGCTGGGTGGTGCCTTCGTTGTCTTCAGACTCTAGGTAGGCCTTTGGGATATTTTATATTTTCCCTTATTGGGCTTAAGAGGACCCTATTTACTAATATTTTTCAGAGGCTTTAAACCCTAAACCCCTAAAGCCGAAACCCTGAACCCTAAACCCCTATATAAACCCTAAACCCTAAACCCTAAAACCAACCAGGACTTGCCTCCCGGCTTTCCCTGCACCTCTCCGCCTCCCTGAAGCCTGGAGCGAAGGCTCAGCGGGGAGGTGCCATGAGCATCGGCCAGTTCGAGTGATCCTTCGACGGATCACCCTACAGCCCTAAACCTGTAACCCTAAACCCTAAATCTTAAACTCTAGACTCTAAGCCTTAAACCTTAAACCCTAGACCTTGAACCCTAAAGTGCTCAGAGCCGCGAGAAGCTGAGGCTTAGAATGTCGAGGTAGGCCTTTGGGATATTTTATATCTTCCCTTATTGGGCCTAAGAGGACCCAATTTACTAATATTTTTCCGAGGCTTTAAACCCTAAACCCAAAACCCCTAAACCCCTAAACCCTAAACCCCTAAACCCTAAACAGAGGCTTTAAAGGGCCAACCAGTTGTGCTGAGAGCTTCCTGGAAAGACCGAAGCTCCCGGAGGAGCTCCGCTCGCGACCCCAAAAAGCATTGTACGCTGAAGTGGCCGGAGGTTTTTAGGGCTAGGGTTTAGGGTTTAGGGTGTTTACTGATCCTGAGTGACCTTCCCTAGAATTGGAACTATCCTGATTTTTGGCTCCGCCGCTGCATCTGTGTATGTAGCTAGCTCATGTGCACAGACTTCTTAATCTCTTAAACCCTTTGGAAAGCCCTTTTCCCCAAACCCGAAGATCCTTCTAAAACCTGAAAGAACCCTCATGGAAGCCTTGCGTTTGTGTCTACAAGTTTGGCTTGTCGTGCCGCACTGGATTTCGACCCGGTAGCTTTTAGTTTGCAAGACTGGGTGCATAGCTTCATCTGAGCTCCATGGTAGTTCAGGGATTGGGGGGGTTAGCGGTGGGGTGGGGAAGAGGGAAGCAGGGTTGCGGGCGGAAGCTTGAAAGGCTTGGCTTATTGTGGTTCACTTTTCAGGAAGCTTGTACCATCTTGATGATTCACCGATGTACACGGATCATCGCAAACCCAAAGTCCTCATCCTTAAAAACCGTGGGGTCTTTAGCCCCAGGCCAGGCAGTGGCTTCACCAGTTCTTGGGCTTCAAGACCTAAACGGTGTGGGGTTTAGGGTCTAGGGTGTGGGGGGGGGGGGTTGCAGTCAGGATGCTCGGTGCACAAAGCTGGCATGGGGCAGTGTGGATCCCGAAGCACCTCTCTGCAAGACAGACCTGGCACTGGATGTTCGAAGCTGTAAGCTGCACCTGATCTCTAATACATACACGTTACTCAAAGTCGTGTGGCTCCGTACATCCGATCATACTCCAAAAGCGCAGTCGCACGCAGGGTCGGCACGATCTCCGCTGGCAAAGGCCCGGGAGGTGTTGGGTGACTCTTCGGGTGAGCGCGCTTGAGCAGCTGAGGGATCCTGAAAGATGTGTGAGTCGGACCCTGAAGGACCAATGAAATGAATCCCTAAAAAGGGCTTACGGCTCCTATCACACATCTCACATACGGCCTTTTAGTATGAGGGTCAGAGCCCCATACCTTTTTTATGGTTTCAAAATCTCCCAGAACCCCAAACCCCACACACATGCAGTGTCCGAGTGCGAGCGCCGAAAGCCCTCTAAGCCCTGAAGACTTCGGTTCGGGGAACGCCCTTGTAGGAACCCTTACAAGGATGCCTTCAAGGACCCCTTCGGGGTAGGGTTTAGGGTTTAGGGTTTAGGGTTTAGGGTTTAGGGGTTTAGGGTTTAGGGTTTAGGGGTTTAGGCTTTAGGGAACAACCCAGAATTCTACTACGAGAAGGATTTGGGGTTTTGGGGTCTCTTTGGGGCACAGAAATCTCCGGTCGGCGAGCTGGGTTAAGGGTTTACTCTAAAAAATAGGGGGGGTTTAAGGGGGTTTCGGGCCCCTAAACCTACCAACAAAAATGGGCTTAGGGGGGTTAGGGTTTAGACTGCCTGTGTTTCAGGGTTTGAGGGTTTAAGGTTGAACGCAGGGCTTAGGGTTAAAATCTAGAGTCTAATCCCTAAACCCTCAACCCTAAAAGGCCTAAACGTTTGGGATTAAGCTCTGAACAGAAGCCTCGATGACATTAGATCGGCACTCTACACATGAGCTTCAGGGATGCAGTTCCGGGAGCCGTCCGACTCGAAACGTCACAGAGAGGGCCTGTGAGGATATCATAGGATATCCTCTATCCTAAGTTTTGTTTCTGTGGTTTTCCGGGGGCCCCATTGCCGGCATAATAGGCCCTAAGATCCTGCTACGTAATGCTCTCGGCCTTTCTGCCCGGTTCAAATTACATGACTCGAAAAGAGACCTTAATAAAAAAATGTTCTCTTGGACATGCAAGTTCCTACAAGGTTCAGGCGGTCACAGAAATTCGGTGTAGAGGAGGGGGGTGCAGTTTACAGGGTTTTGGCCCTAAACCCCTGAACCCTAAACCCCTAAACCCCTGAACCCTGAACCCCAAACCCTAAACCCAGTTGTGAGTGCCGAAACCCCTGAACCCCTAGACCCCAAACCCTAAACCCCTGAACCCTGAACCCTAAACCCCTGAACCCTAAACCCTAAACCCCTGAACCCCTCGACCATGATATTCATTTTGCAAGCTCACGTCTCGTCGCAGTGCGGCTGGCAGCTCTCGGGGTCATGAGACATGTGACATGGGGTTTAGGATCAGGGTTTAGGGCTTTAGGATTTTAGGGTTTAGGGCTTTAGTGAGGGCTTTAGGATTTTAGGGTTTAGGGCTTTAGTGTTTTAGGGTGTAGGATCTAGGGATTTAATTTAGGGCCTTTGAGGGTTTAGGGACCTGCTGCTGCAGGGCCTTGTAGCCTTCAAGCTTTGCAGAAGCACATGGAGTTGGCAAGGAGAGCTCGCAACAACAAAGCCACGGTTTAGGGCTTAGGGTTGATGGTTTAGGATTTAGGGTCAAAAACAAGGGTTTAGGGTTACTAGTGGCAGTGTCACTGCCGCCATCGGGTCTCGCAAGTGCCGAAGCCCCGTGTCTCTACCATGTCAAAAGTCTTCATTCGCTGTGACAGGGCGTAGGTGTCAGGGATGGCACTGAGGTTTCCAAAAGGGCTTATAGGGTTTGGGTACAGTTTGTGGTTCTGACTGTCTGCAAGTGTTAATATTACTATTCACAGCATCAGATTTTCGCGATGACGGAAACACTTCTCCAGTCCGCGGCTGCTGCAGGCAGTGGGGCGGTTTGGGGTTGATGGGTTTAGGGGTGCTCAAAAACGAGGTTTATAGGGTTTCTTCTGAGTCCGCGAGAGAGAGAGAGNNAGAGAGAGAGAGAGAGAGAGGGTTGTAATGTTAACAGCCAAGATTAGAAAGTCATACTAGGTTCTGCCCCATAGCCCTGTTCTAAGTTTGAGGGGCCCAGTATCGCTTGAGTTTCGGAGTACGTGGGTGTGGAGCATTCCACGAAGAGTGTTTGAAAGGTGGGCTCGCAACCCCCTAAACCCTAAACCCCAAGCCGTTCGCGAATCATCTCAGAAGACCCTAATTAGATCCGACCTCTTTCGTGGGAGCTGAACAAATCGTAGTGGGAAACCCCCGGGGGTAGGTGCCTAGAGGTTTGAGGGTTCAGCTTGGAAAAAAAATAGGGTTCCTCGCGGTTTCTAGCATTGATCCAAAAATACCCCCCCCCATCCGATTCTAGTTATATATTGATATATTGAGGGCGCTATATCAAACGTTTG